TAGGACTGCGCTGAAATGGGAAGCCTCACCTCCTGCCTCTCAGCTGTTATTTGCTGCCCCAAGCCTGTGAGAGGCACATACTGGACTTTGTAGCCTATTACAGGACCACCAGCTGCTGTCCAGCGGATCCTCAGCATATCTGTTCCCTGCTCCAAGAAGACCAAATTCGAGGGGCCACCATATGTCTCTGTACCTTAAAGTGGAGGGGAGGAAACAGAGAGAATAAATCAAGATCCTTGCTGGCACATGCAGCTCACCACAGGCCCAGAAGGTAAGGTGAGCAAAGGCCAAGAATTTCAGAAAAGCAGTTCCTTCCCCCCCCACCCCCACAAAAAAGCTGAAAGGATTTGTAGAACGATGAGCAACTTATGTTGACACCAGCAAGCACTGGAGGGTAAGAAGATTGAATGCTACCCACCCGCAGGGTGAGGTTAAACCAACACTGAGCTTAGGTCAGGGTTCCTGGTGGAGTATCACATTGATTAGATCAGGAGCTTCCTCCAGGATTTGCTGATGCATTTCCATGGAAACAGGGCAGGCTGGGAATTAACCCCTTGCAACCCTTGCCAGAGAGAGAGAGAGAGAATCAGGACCGAAGCAGCACTTCAAAGCTGAGCGGCACCTGCACCCCACCCCGAACCTTTTACCTGCTGGCTGTAGGATGCCCCCGGTGCTGGTGCACACCCTCCGTGACACCAGCGGCAAGAGAGTTGAGAGGATTTTAAAGTCAGTGACAAAGAAGAAATAATCCTCCGTGGGGGTGGAAGCCACTTTGGTCAGCTCGCTGCTGTCCGCGTTCTTGATGCCTGAGTGGGAAACAGAGGACTCTGGTAGCAATTGTCTTCAACCACCTTCAAACCTACATTTTCCCCTTCTTTGGGGTTTCCTAACCCTCTGTCTTTTCCATGCACTGGAGTGTTGGGTCCTCTCTGTGCATAGTCCTGGATACATAATGGCCCTTGATTACAGGCTAAGGCAAGAACATAGGAAATCTGACCATCGGTCACTCTAGCTTAGTATTGTTTACAGTGAAGGGCAGATGATTATTGCCTTCAATGAGCAGGCAGCTACTCTCTAGTCTCAAACAGAGGAGATTCTCTTTCCTCAATTCCTTACATTCCAGGAGTTAAAACCTGGGCCTTCTGCATCCAAAGCAGATGTTCTACCACCAAGCTACAGCCCTCCCCTTGCCACCATGTGAGCACTTTAAGTAGAGGGCTGCTGTGACAGGTACAGACAGTGCCTGCAACCCACACAAGGACTGTGCCAATTTCTCTCCTAATTGTAACAGACCCAAACAGGCTCGCACTGTACCCTCATGCGATGCTGCAGCCAACACTGCAACACAAGATATTTTCATGGCTTGTTGAAGAAGGGACAATTGCACATGTTCAACATTCAAAATCATATGTGATTCACCACTGTTGAGATATAACATTTGGGGTGTGTGTGTGTGTCTATATCTTCTTATTAGGTTTTTTTTTTGAAAATGTTAAAAGCATAAAATGAGCCCTGATGGATCAGACCAATGGCCCATCTAATCCAGCATCCTGCTCTCACTATAGCCAACCACTTCCACATGTTCACCCCAGGTACATGTGCCATCTGTGAGAGGGAAGATTGCCAGGGATAACAAAACTAGGAGGCTCATCACCTGCTTGCAAAGTCCTTGTTCCCTGCCTAGGCCTCCTCATGTGGCAAGTAGGAACTGGTATAGATGTTAACCAGCATCACCCACCGAGCTCTGCTTTTTCATATAGAGAACCAGCGGCAGGGTGAGGGAGCAGATGGTAGGAGCCAGAGATTACGGGAAGATACGACTGTATGGGGGATGGAGGAAGGGAGAAGTTCTCACAAATGTTGTCCTTCCTGGGTCCCAATCTCTCACGGGACCTGAATGCAGTAGACACTCACCCACAGCAAAGACTTTAATGCCTTGATCCTTCAGCTTTGCAGCTGCCCCCTCAACTTCATCCTGAGACTTTCCATCTGTGATGAGGATGCAGATCTGATGCAGAGAAGGGAAAGTTATAAGCCATGGAGGTACCCTCAACAAGGAGTTGTAGCAAAGTGCCTCTTTCTGAATTTACATTGGTGCAAACTTTTTGGATCCTTCACCTAAGCCGGGTAGCTCAGATGCAGGGGGAATGGTGAGGGGTTGCTGCATGTGACCTATTTTAAAGGAATGTGCATCATCACAGCCTGGAGGTAGCCCCCCCCTTCTGTCTCTCTGAACCTTCCCAAAGACAGGGATAGCTAATTATTCAGCTTCATGACATGCATGCTCCAACACTGCCAGAACCCAAAAGAGAGGCCACCAGGAGGCTAAGAAGTCCCACCAGCATATTACCCTGCTGCTTTGACCACTGACTTCCCACTCATCCAGCCACCCTTCTCTCTGATCTAGCAGAAGACACTCTCTCACGGTACCTTTGGAACATTAGGCCGGATCTGACTGGCTCCAAAGAAGTTATCTGCCACATGGCGAAAGCCTGCCCCTGTCCGCGTGTTCCCAGACTTGTAGGCCATCTCTCGGACAGCCTTCATCACCGCTGTCCCATTGCGGTATGTGGAGAACGTGAACTCGGTCCTGGGATCAAAACGAAAGGAAAGGTCAGGGGAGGAGGCAGGAGCAGAAGTCACAGGACCTGCCAGCCCATCTCTTGAGTGGAATCCACCGAATGAGCCACCATTTCTTTATGAGCAGCCTTGTGCATCACCCAAAAGTTTTTCAGAAATTCCCAGTGGTGCTCTTAAGGAGTTTCTCCAGGTGTTTAAGTGGAGTGGGCTGGCTCTTCAGAAAAGGAAAATGAGACCATGCTGTGAATCCAGGTTTTCTTTTATATGTCTCAAAGGGGGTGGAAAGTAGGAAAAAAAGACCCCAGCCAATTTTTTATAGCCAGCTTTAAACTACTACTTCATCATCATTATTTACTGAATTTGTATAACGCCTTCATCCAAAGACCAACAAAGGCAGTTCACAACATAAACATGCAAAATGAAAACACAAAATGCATAACAAAGGCAAAACAAACTAATATCCCTCCTCCCACAGACACATTTTAAAAGGCATATAATGTTAATGCAGCCAAATGCCTAATTGAGAAGAAGCTCTCTACAGAAGTTCTATTAAATTAGTCAGCTCTGTGAATAAGAAGCACCTATCTTCTCCCCATTGGGGCATTGTGAGGATCATACTCAGGAATGCAGAAGAACTTTGAACACAAATCTACATTATGACAATGGAAAGCTCTAGAACACTTCCCCCAACATGGTGGACTCAAGATGTTGTTGGTCTGAAACTCCCATCATCCTCAACAATTGGCCATTGGCTGGCTAGGTCTGAGGGGAGCTGGAGTTCAACAACATCCAACAGGTTGGAGGAAGGCTATTCTATAGTAGCCTATAAGACGGGGGTGCCAGATTCAGATGTTGATGGACTCCAACTTCCATCATCCCAGACTATTGGGCCATATAGATTAGGGCTGATAGGAGTCCAACTACAAAGACCTGAAGGGTCACAAGTTAGCCACCTGCACTATGAGAAAGGCCCTGCTGGATCAGGCTGAGGGCCAGTCGAGTCCAGCTCACACGCTCTTTTTAACAGTCATCCATCAGGCACCTCTGGAAAGCCTATGGGCAGGGCATGAAGGCATGAATCCCTTGCTGCTTTTCCTCCTCAGCTCCTGGTATTCAGCAATACAATGCCTCTGATCAGAGAGGTCCCATATGACAGCCACAGCCATTGGATAGACCCATCTACCATGAATTTGCAGCTCCTGCAAATACTGCTGGAGGGCAGAGAGGTTGGGACTCACCTGGGCTCATCACTGTACTGCACGGCTCCAAAGCGCACCCCTCTCTCACCCACCACATTGACAAAAGGGGCAACCAGCCCCTCCATGAAGTTCCGGACCATTTGGAAGTTGGCTCTTCCAATGCTAGAGGATCCGTCCACCAGGAACACAATGTCGGCCGTGTAGACGTTGGAGCAGACCACTGTAAAACAACAACCCATGGCTCAGATGGTTCACTATCACATGAAATACAGAAACATGATAGGCATCCCATTTTGGGGTCAGAGGCTGGGTATGGCCAGTCTTGCACCCTGCTTCTATATAGGCCAAAAGTCCGTCCCAGAAGCCTTTTAGAGAAAGGGCTGTGTATTCTCAGGTTGGCGTTGCATTCACTGCTGCCATTCACAGCCACTCACAAAGCAGACAGAAACGTATCTGCACGCCAATCAGGTGTCCTTTACACTGGGAGTTACTTCAGTGCCTCATACACACCACATTCCTTTAGAGTTAAGTCATCAGAAAGAGATAGCTTGGGGCTCCAGCTTTCCACAGGGGCAGACAGAACCATTCCTATTCCAAGAGGGTGACAGACTCTTTCCCTCTTTGTGCATCAAGTCCATAACTGGCCCTCTAAAATTCCCAAGTCTCCATCCTATGGTAGGATTGGAGGGGAAAGAGGAGACAGCAAGTCCTGGCTTAATAACTGGCACAGCTGAAGTGGGGAAAGAAATGCTATCTAGAATCATGATATTTGATTTAGGAGGTGAATAGAGAAGGAGTGTCTTTTTCTGTAACAAAGGGACCATGGTAAATTCCTTTGCTTCAGCCCAGACGCACAGTTAGGGAGTGGAGCCCAAAATTTTTTGAAGATGGTTTTTTTAATTGTTTTTTTCCTCCTGTTGCCAGGTGCTATGGGAAAGTGCAAGCCTATCTGCAAACACTTGCAAAGAAGCCAGTCCTTGACACCTCAGTGGAGCTATAAGATGCTCAGTTTTCACTCAACAGAGCCACAATATGCTCCTCAAGGGGAAAATCAGTTTTTAAAACTATGAACTCCTTCTCCTTGGATATCAAGAGGAAGTGAGTGTATTGGTACCAATGGGACACTGAATGGAACATGAATGTGAACAGAGAAGCTTTAGATAGGTAGCCAAGAACATCTGCATGCTTATCTTTGATCTGGAAGCTTTCAGGCAAGAGAGAAGGATGAGAAAGGGTGGAAAAGGAAAGGTCACTAAGTGCAATGGACCTTTCTCAGCAAAATAAACACTCCAACATGAAACAAAACCTTTGGCAAACTATTTCGAAGCAAAGCCAGAGCAATTATCAGTGTTAAGTTTTGGTTAGGATAGGTGGAACCATCAAACCGCTTGTCATGCTTGTAGCATGGGTGGGAAACCTCTGGACCAGAGATTTTGATGCTTAAAATGGGAGTGAAGGGAGACTTGCAAAGTCACGCATTTGACAGGTGGGTAGCTCTAGGCAGTGCAAGCAGCGTGCACCCTGCATGACAGGTTCATGACATGAACATATCTTTCTGTTTCACGAGCTAACAACTATGGTTGAATTCTTCTAAAGAAGTGAGGGCCAGAAGCCAGCATTAAACCATGGTTTAAAGTTGCCTAACAAATCCCAGCTTATTTCAAAGCCAGGGTGTTAAATGCCTGGAGACTGTAAGTAGGTCAGGAAGGGGTCAGGAGAGATGGGTGAGAAGGAGCACCTGTGCACCCAACTTCCTGCCAGCGGCCTCACTGCTGCTTACACCAGGTATCCTGGCTCATCCTAGCTAAAGTCCATGAACTCAGGTGCTGATTCTTTCCAAAAGTTTTAATGCTCAAATCAGTGTGATACATATGCAAATGATACATAGGCAGAGGCACAGCAGGCAATACACAGCTCTCCTCAAGGCATGAATAAATGAAGGCACAGCAGGCAGTATGGTTACTTCCACAACACCATGTCCCTTGCATTCTCATGATAATG